CTTTCATGGACTTGGTGTTTTCCGTAGCCGCTCTGCACTCTGTGGATCTGCCTAGGAGAAATGCGCTTGAGCGCCGGCCCCTGCACCACTTTAAGTGGTAGCGGAGCCCGGCACCTGACCGGGCTCGGTTCCTGTAGTTTTGGCCAGGAGGCGTCGACCTCCGAGTGGCGCGGGTGCGACAGCGGAGACTGTCGAGGAGGGTGGCATGAAGGTGGGGCAACCACAGAGTGCTGTGGGTCCAGTGGCTGCTGAACAAAGGCCAGCGGACCAGATAGGTGAGGGTGGGGTAGGATCTCTTGATCCGTTGCTCTCCGTGGGCGTGGGGACGCGGCAGCGAACACTGGGCTTGGGAAGAGCGGCCATGTGGTCTTGGCCTATTGAAAGGCAATGGGGCTCATGGAGTTGGCATGAGCCGCAACCGTGGTGGTCTCATCGATGGGGTCAGCCGACCTCACGGTATGAGAGGGAGTGGTTTGGTGGGCATGGGGGCTGGGCTGGAGACGGTCGTGTTCCGGGTGATGGTTCTTCGTGGTTGAGTCCTCCCCCCCATCGTCATGCGCCTGGTCTACATGTTGGTGAACATGCCGGTGATGTAGGTCGAGACCAAGGGGGTGATCTTCCGCCTCCGGTGACTTCAGCTTCTGATGAGTCTTGGTTTAGTTATATCACCAGGTGATGATAGCATCGAGAACAATCCAGCCGCGTGGCCACCAGGGCCTTGGGAATTGCACAACATGGCGGCGGATGACAAATCCGCTGCTGATGGACGCCCCTCGGACTCGAGTCGGTCGGGTTTGGGGAGTAGCGGAAACCAGAAGAGTTCTCAGTCACATCGGAAGATCCCTTCTACGTATCAGGACCAGCAGCGTCCGTTAATTCTCCAGAGACCTCCAGTGAACATGCAGCGATGTCCGCTGTGCTGGAGCAAATAATGAAGGATGAGCAGCACCGCCAGTCCGCGAGAGCATACATGGCTGCGGTGCGTGATGCTGCTGGGAGTGTGGGGGCATCAAGAGAATTTGTGACATTGGTCAATGCAAGCGACGACATGTTCACCGCTCGTATGGTCGTGGATTTGGGTTGTTTGCGGTCGGTGGCAGGCATTAAATGGGTTTTGACAGAGGTGCAGCGTTGCAAGCAACAAGGTCGGTGTTTTGCCATCAAACCCACATTGGATTATTTCCGTTTTGGTGTGATGGGGTTCGTCGGCCTTCACGCTTTCGTGTCTATTTGGAGGTCGGCATCAATGGGCATGTAGGCTTGTTGGCAATTAACGCAGTTGAGTATCCTTGTCCGCCACTTCTTTCCAAACATGTATGCAGTGCATTGGGGCTTCAATTGGACTGTGGGTCTGGCAGGTTTGATCTTCACAGGTTAGGGGTGCGATCACAACATTTCACTTCATCAGCTGAGGGTCATTATTTGTTGCGGATCGATGAGTTCATTGAGCATTGGCCATCTTGGCATCAGTTGCTTCAGCAGGGACATTGTCCTAAGATTCAGCATGATGAAGTGTCCATGTTTGAGTTGCGCAAGGGCGTTCCCGTTGGCAAGGGTGTGCGGCGGATTCAGGCTCAAGGAAGAGATCGTGTCAGAACGCCTGTCTTGGCCTGTGCTCCCACGTCCAAGCCTCGCAGTGACTCTCGTGACCATGGATCGCGCTCAGCGGACCAGGGCAGCACGCACTCGGGAGCCCATCGAGGCACAGTCCGTGTCGTCGGTGGAACTTCTTCTGGAAGAGCCGGATTGGGAGGGCGAGGAGGCGGACAAGATCCAACCACAGCAGCCGCGTCGGAAGCAGGCGGCAGGGACTCGCTTGGATGCTACGATGGAGAGTGCGCCAGCTGCCTCGACAGGGGCAACCAAAGTCAAGTCCGAGCCGAAGAGCAAGACCAAGGTCAGTTCCAAGACCAAGGACAAGAAGGAGACCCGCTTGGAGATCACCGGCCAGTATGCGGACTTTCCCGTGTTGGGAATGACCCACAGCCACGATGCAGTGTTCAACATGAGCTGGGTGCTGCACGGCCGGCTGGCGGTGCACTTCCAGCTGGTGTGGCTCCTGCGCTCCCGAGTGGCCATGGAATCCTACGAACTCCCTTGGAAACGCCATCCTCGCTGGCTGGCCATGATGATGAGCAAGGAGGTGGCGGCCATTTGGGGGCATTTGGGCGGCGCTGTGAAGACCTTGAGCGGCCCTCGGGGTCCGCAGCTGCTGAAGTGAGGGGTGAGGCAGTAGCGAACGGGGGTTCAGAGCCGAGGAGAGCAACGCCGTGGAAGCGCAGTCAAGTTCAAGTGTTGAAGAGAGGTGCAAAGTGCTGTTCATCTGTTTTACAACATTTGGCTTTTGTTGCTCACAAATCAACAGATCACACTTGGCGTGTATTAGAGATCTTTGGAGGCAGTGCAGCATTGTCGCTGATAGCCCGCTCCACTGGGAAATGGTGTGCCTTGGAGCCTGTCGACTTAGTCTATGGATCTGATGTTCTGGACCCCAAAGAACGAAAGCGGATCTTGCAACAGATTGATGAGTGGGAACCGGATCTTGTGTGTCTTGAACCGCCGTGCGGCCCTTGGTCCTCTCTACAGTCACTCAATCCCCAAGAAGTTGTTCATTTCAAACGAATGTTGCGTATGCCTTTTTGGGAATTTTGTGCAGTTGTCTGGAAGAAACAACATCGCGCCGGTCGTCCGGTGTTGTTGGAGCGACCTTTTCGCAGCATGGCATTGAAGTTAGATTGTATGATTCAACGACCAAGTGTACACAGAGCCGTTGTAGATCAGTGCATGTTTGGATTGCAAGACCAGTGTTCTCATTTACCTTTTCAGAAGCGCACTGCCTTGGACGTCAACTCTCCTGTGTTCGCTGCAGCTTTGATGCAGGGCTCGTTGTGTGATCGCAGTCACTCCCATCAGACCATTGAAGGTCAGGTTTTTGCTCATGGCAAGTGGATGAACCGCTCCTTGGTGGCGGGCACCTGGACACCCCAGTTTGGCCGCCACATACTGGCATGTGCTGCGCTGGCCCTGTCTCAAGCTGGCTGCTGGCATCACACCATGCTCATGTCTTTGTCACCCGCTTCGACGAGGGGGATGGAGGCGAGTGCTTCTTGTCCAGACCATCGTCGGCTGCTCCGTGTGACTCGGCGGGATGCTATGAACTGGGAGAGCACTGGTGTGACACCTGTGAGGGGGGTTGGTGCAATCAATGCTTTGTGAATCATGTTTGTGAACCCCACCCACTTGTCGAACAAGTTGATGAGCATTTAGCCTTTGCAGCATCCAGCGCCGCTGATCATGAACTAGAGGAGGAGTGCTTGGATCAGGCACCCGGTGCAGAAGAGCTGAAGACAGAGGTAGCCATCAATCAGCTGTTCCGACGGCTTCAACAAGAAGAAGATCAGCGCCGTGGCGACTACTCGGGAGTGGGCAGCCGCTATGGCTATGTTCGTTTTGTTGGGGCTTCACTGAGGGTCAACAAGGCCATCCGGAATCAGGTGGCCAAGTTACATGGTACCTTGGGGCATCCCTCCAATGATAGGCTAGCTCGGATGCTGAAGCTGAATGGTGCTACCAAGGAGGTTGTTCAAGCAGCGCAGGACTTGCGTTGTGAGGTGTGCAGTCGGGTCCATCCACCAACTTCGATGCCCAAGTCGTCTGTCATCAGATTCCTTTTTCTTGCTGGATAGTGAAGGGGTGCGGTGGAATGTGACTCATTTGGTCGATGGTTTTTGCGGGCTACAGTATGGTGTGCTCTCCAAGAACCCTTCCTCTGCCACGAGTTGTGACCTCCTCTTTGACAAATGGATTTTGGTGCATGGGCCGATGAAGGAGCTCACTGTTGATGGCGGGCCGGAATATCGAGGTGGCTTCCCTCATCTTTGCGAGGTCTATGACATTCGCTTGAACATCAATCCTACCTCCGCCAAGTGGAAGAGTGGTTTGGCTGAGAGACACGGGTCGATCCTCAAACTCATTCTGCTCAAGATGGTCCATGAACTGTCCCTGACCAAGGAGGGCGATTTGAGGAACGCCTTGGCCATGGCTGCGCAAGCCAAGAACCGCCTGTCACGTCGGTGCGGTTACTCTCCACTGCAAGTGGTTCAAGGCCGTGATATGGTCTTGCCATCCTCCTTGGTGGAGCAAGTTGACCGGGCGGAGATCAAGTTTGCCACCAATAGCAAAATCCTGGAGATCAAAGAGCAGGACTTCATGGAGAAGCTGAGGAAGGAGGCGGCTGCCGCCTTCATTGGCTGGATAGACATGAGCGTTTGAGGATGGCTCTAAACAGCCGGTCTCGTCCACCACACCTGAAGGCAGATGCCTTGGTGCCAGGTACTGTGGTCTATTTCTTCAAACAACCTGCTCAGAATCGTCGACTACAGG